CTGTAGTCCCAGCTACTCAGGAGGCTGAGGCAGGAGAATGGCGTGAACCTGGGAGGCGGAGCTTGCAGTGAGCCGAGATTGCACCACTGCACTCCAGCCTGGGCAACTGAGTGAGACTCTGTCTCAAAAAAAAAAGTCCTCGTGAAGGCAACTGAATTTGTCTCAGAAAGTGCCAGTAAAATCTTGTTATTCTTTCAGGGGCATTGATGTTGTGAGGAATAAAATTAAAATGTTCGCTCAACAAAAAGTCACTCTTCCTAAAGGCCGACATAAGATCATCATTCTGGATGAAGCAGACAGGTAGAGTGCTTTGCCAAATATATTTTGACCTTGATCTCTAAATCTCTTTTTGGACTTTATTCAATCGGGATGAAAAGCACTTTTATGGTAGATTTGCTTATATCTTCAACAAGCAATTTAATAGGGGCCTGCACCTTAAATCTTTTCTTTATTAAGTAAGTTACAAATATTTGTCTAGGATAGTCATTCATGTAATGTGCTGGTTTCAGCATCTCTTACGTTAATAATTTAAATGAAGTGTTTTTTGTTTTTGTTTGTTTGTTTTGAGATGGAGTTTCTCCCTGTCACCCAGGCTGGGGTACAGTGGCGCAATCTCTGCTCACTGCAACCTCTGCCTCCCGGGTTCAGGCAGTTCCCCGGCCTCAGCCTCCCGAGTAGCTGGGACTACAGGCACCTGCCACCATGCCCAGCTAATTTTTGTGTTTGTATTTGTATTTATTTGTTTATTTATTTTTTGAGACAGAGTCTTGCTCTGTCACCCAGGCTGGAGTGCAGTAGCGTGATTTCAGCTCACTGCAACCTCTGCCTCCCGGGTTCAAGTGATTCTCCTGCCTTAGCCTCCCAAGTAGCTGAGACTACAGGCGCGCACCACCACGCCCAGCTGATTTTTTGTATTTTTAGTAGAGATGGGGTTTCACTGTGTTAGCCAGGATGGTCTCAATCTCCTGACCTCGTGATCCGCCCGCCTCAGCCTCCCAGAGTGCTGGGATTACAGGCGTGAGCCACTGAGCCCGGCCTAATTTTTGTATTTTTAGTAGAGACAGGGTTTTGCCACATTGGCCAGACTGGTCTCGAACTGCTGACCTCGGGTGATCTACTCGCCTCAGCCTCCCAAAATGCTGGGATTACAGGTGTGAGCCACCATGCCCGGCCTGTAAAATTTTTTATTGTGGTTAAATGGACATAATTAACCATAACATAAAATTTGCCATTTTAACTATTTTGAAATGTACAGTTAATTCAGTGGCATTTAGTACATTTGCAATGTTGTGCAACCATCACAACACTATGGTTGGTATAAATGAAGAATCTGAGTCCAGGCTTGGTGGCTCACACCTGTAATCCCAGCACTTTGAGTGGCCAAGGCAGGCGGATCACCTGAGGTCAGGAGTTTGAGACCAGCCTGACCAACAAGGAGAAACTTCGTCTCTACTAAAAATACAAAATTAGCCGGTATGGTGGCGTATGCCTGTAATCCCAGCTACTTGGGAGGCTGAGGCAGGAGAATTGCTTGAACCCGGGAGGCAGAGGTTGCTGTGAGCTGAGATTACGCCATTTGCACTGTAACCTGGCCAACAAGAGCGAGACTTCATCTCAAAAAAAAAAAAAAAATTGAAATGACATTAAAAAAAATATAGAACCCTAACCCTATAATGTTGTTTTTTTGTTGTTGTTTCTGAGACAGGGTCTCACTGTGTCGCTCAGGCTAGAGTACAATGGCACAATCATAGCTCACTGCAGCCTTGAACTCCTCGGCTCTAATGATCCTCCACCTCAGCCTCCCAAGTAGCAGAGACTACAGGCTTGTGCAACTGCAACCAGCTTTTTTTTTTTTTTGCCCTAGAGGCAGGGTCTCACTATGTTACCTAGGCTGGTCTCAAACTCCTGGCCTCAAGTGATCTGTCTGTCTCGGCCTCCCAAAGTGCTAGGATTGCAGGCATGAGGTGCTGTGCCCGGCGAGATAAATTTTTTTTAGGGCCAGGCGCGGTGGCTCATGCCTGTAATCCCAGCATTTTGGGAGGCTAAGGTGGGCGGATTGCTTGAGGTCAGGAGTTCGAAACCAACCTGGCCAACACGGAAACCCTGTCTCTACTAAAAATATAAAAATTAGCCAGATGTGGTGGCGCCCAGGCTGGAGTGCAATGGTGCCTGTAATCCCAGGTACTAGGGAGTCTGAGGCAGGAGAATCGCTTGTACCCAGGAGACAGAGGTTGCAGTGAGCCGAGATGGTGCCAGTGTACACCAGCCTGGGCAACAGAGCAAGACTCTGTCTCAAAAAAAAAAAAAAGGCCGGGCGCGGTGGCTCAAGCCTGTAATCCCAGCACTTTGGGAGGCCGAGACGGGCGGATCACGAGGTCAGGAGATCGAGACCATCCTGGCTAACACGGTGAAACCCCGTCTCTACTAAAAAATACAAAAAACTAGCCGGGCGAGGTGGCGGGCGCCTGTAGTCCCAGCTACTCGGGAGGCTGAGGCAGAAGAATGGCGTAAACCCGGGAGGTGGGGCTTGCGGTGAGCTGAGATCCGGCCACTGTACTCCAGCCTGGGCGACACAGCAAGACTCCGTCTCAAAAAAAAAAAAAAAAAATTTTTTTAATATAGCAGTAATTCATGTTCTTTGAAGAAAATTTAGAATATATTAATAGTTTGCTGTGTTTTTATTTGTTTTAGTTGGAGTCTCACTCTGTTACTCAGGCTGGAATGCAGTGGCATGATCTCGGCTCACTGCAACCTCTGCCTCCTGGGTTCAAGTGATTCTCCTGTCTCAGCCTTGCGAGTAGCTGGGACTACAGATGCGCACCACCACGCCCAGACAATTTTTTTTTTTTTTTTTTTTTTTTTGTATTTTTAGTAGAGTTGAAGTTTTGACATGTTGGCCAGGCTGGTCTTGAACTCCTGATTTCAAGAGATCTGCCCACCTTGGCCTCCCAATGTGCTGGGATTACAGGCATGAGCCACTATGCCTGGCCATTAATAGCTTGCTTTATTTCTTCTGTTTTTATACACTATCAATGTTTACATACTTGAGATCATAATATATATAATTTTTATATCCTGGTTTTTCCTTTTAATGTTATACGCAGTGCTCTGCATTATGATAATCTGGTAAACAGGCTTTTTTGTATTTTTTTAAAATTTTTTGTAGAAATAGAGGTCTCACTATGTTGCCCAGGCTGGTCTCAAGTGGTCCTCCTGCATCAGCCTCTTGAGATGGGAGGATGGCTTGAGCCCAGGAGTTCAAGGCTGCAGTGAGCTATGATCGCACCATTGCACTGCAGCCGGGGTGACAGCAAGAACCTGTCTCTTTGGGCGGATCACGAGGTCAGGAGATCGAGACCATCCTGGCTAACACAGTGAAACCCCGTCTGTTCTAAAAATACAAAAAATTAGCTGGGCGTGGTGGTGGCTGCCGGTAGTCCCAGCTGTTCGGGAGGCTGAGGCAGGAGAATGGTGTGAACCCAGGAGGCGGAGCTTGCAGTGAGCCAAGATGGCACCACTGCCCTCCAGCCTGGGCGACAGAGCGAGACTCCGTCTAAATAAATAAATAAATAAATCGACTGAGCGAGACTCCATCTAAATTAATTAATTAATTAAAATAAAAAAAGAACCTATCTCTTTGAAGAAAAAAAGGAAGAAAGAAAAGTAGGCAGCTGGTGTCATGACTCTTCTCTTGAATTTGATGTCGTGAAGGGCTGGAGAGTGTGATGGCAAGCCACTCTAGATGGTGGTTTTCATGAATTTCACTTGAGGGCTGTTCTGATGCTGCGGGTACTAAATGCTGTTTGCACAGTCTTTGAGAGAGCGGCCTGCGGGTTTTCACATTAGAGCAGTGGCCTGCGTACTTCCGATGAGACCCTCATTTGGAACGTTGGGTGTATCTCTGTCCTGGGTTTTTGTGTACGGAGCGGTTTGTGTCGCATGGGCCCTGGGTCCCACTTACAAACCTGTTTTTCTTCTCAGCATGACCGATGGAGCCCAACAAGCCTTGAGGAGAACCATGGAAATCTACTCTAAAACCACTCGCTTCGCCCTTGCTTGTAACGCTTCAGATAAGATCATCGGTGAGTAGGAGCTTTGGGTGGCTTGGGGTCCACGTAGTGCTCACCTGGGCTTTTTTCTTTTTTATAGACGTGGTCTCCCTCTTCGCTCAGGCTGGAGTGCAGTGGTGCCATCACAGCTCACTGCAGCCTCAAACTCCTGTGCTCAAGTGATCTTCCTGCCTCAGCCTCCCAGTAGCTGAGACCACAGGCCTGTGCCACCACACCTGGATTTTTTTCTTTTTTTTTTTTTTTTTTGAGACAAAGTCTCACTCTGTCGCCTATGCTGGAGTGCAATGGCGCGATCTCGGATCACTGCAACCTCCACCTCCGAGATTCCAGCAATTCTTGTGCTTCAGCCTCCTGAATAGCTGGGATTACAGGCCCACACCACCACACCCAGCTAATTTTTTTTTTTTTTTTTTTAAGAGATGGGGTTTCATTCACCATGTTGGCCAGGCTGGTCTCAAAACACCTGACCTCGTGATCACCTGCCTAGGCCTCCCAAAGTGCTGGAATTACAGGTGTGAGCCACTGTACCTGGCCTCACCTTGGCTCGTTAGCACTGGAAGAGTAGGGATTTTTTGATTGCATAGCATGGGCCAAGCACTGTATAATCAAATTTTTAAATTTATATTTTTTTAATTGACAAGGAAAAATTGTATATATTATGCACAACATGTTTCCCATTGTAATCAACTTTTAAATTTAATCTTATGTAATCCTATGAGGAGGTATTATTAGCTTTACTTTAGAGATGAGTAACCTGGAGCTCATCCTAGTGTTTAGGATCTAAGGAAAAAAGGGAAAGAAAACTAACTTGGGGAGGTTGAGTAGTTTGCCCAAAGTCACAGAGCAAGTGCAAGAGCAGCTGGGATTGGAGCCCCAGGTCTGTCTCCCTCTTTGCCTCCGGGAAGCCTCTCTCTGAAATCCTGCAGTCCATCTTCTCTCTGACCTTACTGTTTGCCCTTCCACCTCCCTCCTTGCAGCCCGTCTGCTTCTGCACGGGTTTGTCCCGCCCCAGGTCCCAAGAGTGCTCTAGTCTGTCAACTTCCTGCTGGTTTCCCATCCTTCTCTTTCTTTTTTTTAGAGTCTCCCTCTGTCACCCAGGCTGGAGTGCAGTGGTGCGATTTCAGCTCACTGCTGTCTCTGCCGCCCAGATTCAAGTGATTCTCCTACCTCCGCCTCCTCAGTAGCTGGGATTACAGGCTTGTGCCACCATGCCTGGCTAATTTTTGTATTTTTGGTAGAGACGAGGTTTCATCATGTTGCCCAGGCTGGTCTAGAACTCCTGGCCTCAAGTGACCCACCTGCCTTGGCCTCCCAAAGTGCTGGGATTATAGGTGTGAGCCACTGCGCCTGGCCCATCCTTCTCTTTCTGACACAGGCTGCCTGCACAGCCCAGCTGTCCTCTTTCCTCATTTCTCACCGCTCTCTCAGCTGCTTTCTTTGCCTCACTTCGGCCTACTGAACCCCAACCATATGAGCTTATCCATCTGACAACCCCCTTGCCACCCAGGCCGCTGTTGCAGACAGGCACATTACCAAATGTGGCGCCCACAAAGTCATGGCTACCAGCCCTGGCGGGGCTCTCAGCAGTGTCGGGAATCCTTTACAATTTTCCCTTCCCCAAATCGCACTGATTTGTGCGTTGATTCATTCAGCCGTTCATCAAACAGTTAACTCTGGTTCTTAGTAGCCGCCAGGCACCATGCTAGTGGAGAACTTGCGGAGTTTAATGAGAAGTATTCTCTGCTTTCCAGATGCCAGTGATGAAATGGAGAAAAATGCATTCCTAGTTCTTGTTTTGGCAGGGCACAGTGGCTCATGCCTGTAATCCCAGCACTTTGGGAGGCCGAGGCAGGTGGCTTGATCACCTGAGGTCAGGAGTTCAAGACCAACCTGGCCAACATGGTGAAACCCTATTTCTACTAAAAATACAAAAATTAGCCAGGCGTGATAGCGTGTGCCCGTAATCCCAGCTACTCAGGAGGCTGAGACGGGAGAATCACTCGAACCTGGGAAGTGGAGGTTGCGGTGAGCCTAGATCACACCACTGCACTCTAGCCTGGGAAACAGAGTAAGACTTGGTCTCAGAAAAAAAAAAAAAGAAGAAGAAAAAGAAAGAAACTGGCCAGGCATAGTGGCTCACACCTGTGATGCCTGCACTTTGGGAGGCTGAGGCAGGAGGACTACTTGAAGCCAGGAGTTCAAGAGCAGCCTGGGCAACATAGCAAAACCCTGTCTATGAAAAAAAAGAAATAAACTGGGGTGGCCCATTCAGATTGAATTGTCATGTGCCCAGAAGGGCCAACGTCCAGCACACACCAATTCCAGAGTCCCTCTGGGCCGGGGCTGACTTATCTAAGGGCTTGTGGCACGTGCCTGTGTCTCTACTGGAGGATCATTTCTCCGTCTGGAAGCCGTGGCTAACGGAGGCCATGCCAGGCAGTGCCAGCTGAGGCCTATCATTGCTTATTAGTTGACACCTTGACATATCACCCTGTTTTTTACCAAGTCTCTCTCTCTCTGTCTCATTTATTTATTTATTTATTTATTTATTTATTCATTTATTTATTTGTTGAGACACAGCCTTGCTCTGTTGTCCAGGCTGGAGTGCCGTAGTGTGATCTTGGCACACTTCAGCCTCCGCCTCCCGGGCTCAAGTGAGTCTCCTGCCTCAGCCTCCCGAGTAGCTGGGAGTACAGATGTACGACACCACACCCAGCGAATTTTTGTGTTTTTAGTAGAGATGGGGTTTCACCATGTTGTCCAGGCTGGTCTCGAACTCCTGACATCAAGTGATCCTTCCGCCTCAGCCTTCCAAGTCTCTACTGAGTACCTGGGGCTGTGTGGATTATGCAGCTGCAGCCTTGTAACCAAAGAGCTAGCAGGGTGATGCCGGCCTCTGCAGGGAAGCCTCACTGCCGTCCCATCTCTGTTCAGAGCCCATTCAGTCCCGCTGCGCAGTCCTCCGCTACACAAAGCTGACCGACGCCCAGATCCTCGCCAGGCTGATGAATGTTATCGAGAAGGAGAGGGTACCCTACACTGATGACGGCCTGGAAGCCATCATCTTCACGGCCCAGGGAGACATGAGGCAGGTATGTGGGCCACTATCATTCAGGTGTGGGCGTCCCGTGCCTGCCATGCCCCTTCCATGGGGAAGGGGAGGGAAGTGACAGCTGCACAAGGTACAACAAGAGAAAGAGACGGAGACCCGGCACCCTCCTGAGGCAGTGGGCTGTCTAGCTCGGACTCCAAGAAGAGAGGCAGGGAAGGGCAGAGCTTTAAAAGTCACCCTGGAGGCTGAGGCAGGTGGATCACCTGAGATCAGGAGTTCGAGACCAGCCTGGCCAACATGGTGAAATCCTGTCTCTACTAAAAAATATGTAAAAATTAGCCGGGCGTGGCCAGGCGCGGTGGCTCACGCCTGTAATCCCAGCACTTTGGAAGGCTGAGGCGGGTGGATCATAAGGTCAGGAGATCGAGACCATCCCAGCTAACACCGTGAAACCCCGTCTCTACTAAAAATACAAAAAATGAGCTAGGCATGGTGGTGGGTGCCTGTAGTCCCAGCTATTCGGGAGACTGAGACAGGAGAATGGCGTGAACCCGGGAGGCGGAGCTTGTAGTGAGCCGAGATAGCGCCACTGCAATCCAGCCTGGGCAACAGCGAGACTCCATCTCAAAAGAAAAAAAAAAAAAAAAAACAACAGCCGGGCATGGTGGTGGGTGCCTGTAATCCCAGCTACTCAGGAGGCCGAGGCAGGAGAATTGCTTGAACCTCGGAGGCGGAGGTTGCAGTGACTTGAGCTTGTGCCACTACATTCCATGCTTGGTGACAGAGTGAGACCCTGTCTCAAAAAAGAAAAAAAGAGTCACTCTTGGCCTGGTGCCGTGGCTCACACCTGTCATCCCAGCACTTTGGGAGGCAGAGGCGGGAGGATCACTTGCTCTTCCTCATCACTCTCTCAGCTGCTTTCTTTGCCTCACTTCCGCCCTCCTGAACCCCAACCATATGAGCTTATCCATCTGACAACCCCCTTGCCACCCAGGCCGCTGTTGCAGACAGGCACATTACCAAATGTGGCGCCCACAAAGTCATGGCTACCAGCCCTGGCGGGGCTCTCAGCAGTGTCGGGAATCCTTTACAATTTTCCCTTCCCCAAATCGCACTGACTTGTGCATTGATTCATTCAGCCATTCACTGAACACTTAACTCTGGTCCTTAGTAGCTGCCAGGCACCATGCTAGTGGAGAACTCGCGGAGTTTAGTAAGAAGTATTCTCCGCTTTCTGGACCAGCCTGGGCAACATAGCAAGACTCCCATCTCTACCCAAAAAGAAATAAATATAAAAATCATCCTGACATGTGTTTGCTCCTGAACAGGCGCTGAACAACCTGCAGTCCACCTTCTCAGGATTTGGCTTCATTAACAGTGAGAACGTGTTCAAGGTACAAGCGCTGGTGTGGGTGGTACTGTCAGCAAAAGCCATGCTTCCCTACGGGGGCCAGCGGGGCTGAGGGGCTGGGCTGGCAGCAGGGACAGACACCTGGCTGCTCTCGTGAGTGCCAGGGAGCCCACCCTGCTTCTGTCTGTCCTCTCCCTGTTGCTGCTTTTGCTGCACAAGTTGGAGAGTTTCGGGGGACCTGGAATGTCACTTGTGTGTGGTAGGTGAGGGGGGACCACTGATGCGTCCGACTCAGGGCCAAGCAATTTCTGACACGTCTTATTTGATCCCAGCGACTTCCCTGCACAGCGGTTCTTACCATCACATTGTGAGTGATGACGTGGGACCCCCTGGTCCCTAAAGGGCAGGCAAGAGCGCTGTGCTATTCCCCAGCAGCCTTCAGACCCCACACCCTGCGTTTTTTTCTGCAATGCCATACCCTTCTCCCCACTTCTGCCCCTGGAGGGTGGGTAGCAACCCTCAAAGCCAGGCCGAGGAAAAGGGCTGCTCTCACTTACTTTCCCATGTCGGCAAAACATTTTTCTCTTTGGAATTCTTTTGAAAACTGCTTCCACATCCTGATAACTCAGCATCTAAATGCCATTTGGGAGACTCATTTCCTCCTTATTTGGGTAGAAACTGGGAAGGGCTGTCCAGGCTTTCAGTCTATAGCTCTTTCTTACCAGGTTTGTGGACAACAGACAAGCTATTTTTGAAGCATCTGGGTAGACCTGGGCAGTGAACGCATTTTTGAGGCCACTTAGGAAAGGGAGGCCCGCTCAGAAACAGCGGTGATGGTTTGGGCCCTGTTTTGTCTTAGAGGGTCACTGAGGGCTCAGGAAACCATGGCTTCTACTGGGAAAAGGCAAGGGCAGGTGTGGGTGGCCTCTGGAGCCATCAGGAGACTTTCATTCGGAAGATTTAGGGGTCGACATTGCACCGGAGGCAGAGCCTCGTGCCAGTGCGGGGAATGCTGCAGGGAGGAACGAGTCCCCAGCACCATCCACCCGCCTGCTGGAGCAGCGGGACCCCTCCTTTAGGGTGTCAGGCTGAGGCTGGGGGACCCTTTTCAGGGAAGGCCAGTTCCTACTCCGGGCTGGAGGTGGGAATTGGCCCAAAGGACCTCCCAGTTCTAAAGTGAATTCCAAGTGGTTCTGGGCAAATGGCTCCCCAAGTGATATAAGACAGGTGGCTGGTGGCTTTAAAGCTGTCCCCGAGTGGGCATCCTTCACAGGCCTTGGTTGCTCTCTTGTTCATCTGTCTTGTGTTTGGAACATTTATCTTCCTGGTGCTAGAAGCACTTCTCTTTGGTGGTGAGAGGGGCATTCCCCAAACTCATTCTGGTTGCTGGAGAATTTGATGATAACAACAGATTGAGTAGTTTTACCCACAGATTGCCCGGAAATTGGTCTGTTGGGGCCTCCCCGGTCACACTGTCCCTTCCAGCCCCTGACCACCTTTCCTTTCCCTTTGGCCAGGTCTGTGATGAGCCCCACCCACTGCTGGTGAAAGAGATGATCCAGCACTGTGTGAATGCCAACATCGACGAAGCGTACAAGGTTGGCCTCCTTCCGCCCGTCCTGGCAGAGGAACCACTCACTTCTTGGGCAGAGGAGAGAGGGAGCCCTTCTAGTGCCAGGGACATTATACACATCACTCCATTAATTCTTGAAATCTTACTTGGGAGGCTGAGGCAAGAGGATTTCTTGAGCCCTGCAGGTCAAGGCTGCAGTGAGCTTTGCTTGTGCCACTGCACCCCAGCCTGGATGACAGAGTAAGACCCTGTGTCAGGAAAAAAAAATTATTAATATCATGCTATGTGTTAATCTGTCTAGGAGCTGGGAAAAAAAAATCGTACCAGGAGTTGGGTACACTTTACTGATGAGAAAACTGATTCAGAGAGGCTGAATTCCTTGTCCTAAATCTCTGTGTTTATTTATTTCTTATTTCTTATTTTTTTAGAAACAGGGTCTTACTCTGTTGCCCAGGTTAGAATGCAGTGGCGCAGTCACAGCTCACTATAGCCTCAACCTCTCAGGCTCAGGCGATTCTCCCACCTCAGCCTCCCAAGTTGCTGGGACTAGAGGCACACGTCACTATACCCAGCCCTAAGTCATACGGTTTAAAAGCAGTAGAACTAGAATTCAAAATGGTGTTTTTCTCCTGTAATTATATCCTCTGCAGGAGAAATTTGTCAGCCGAAGTCAGGAGGAAAGACCAGCCTAGCTCCTTCTCCAGGGAAGCCATCTTCTCTCCGGTTAAGGGAGGTGTCCCCATCCATTCTCATAGGCACAGGCATTCTGGGACCCAGCAGCCCCCAGCCAACCAGGGGAGGAGGGAGCAGGAAGATTCTACCCTGACAATGGGACTGGGTGCTGTGAGCAGATTCCAGCAGGTGTGGCTGGGGCTCAGGTGACCTCAAGCCACGTGGGTGTGGTGTGGTTGGTGTGGTCCAAGGTCATTGATCCAATCATAGTTTCCCTCTGCCTACCCCCTAACAAACTAGGCTGGAAGTTGGCTGGGTTTAGGGCAGAGTTGCACCTAATGTGAAACCGGAGTGCAAGGCGGGGAGACTGAGCAGAGACTCAGGCCCAGGTCCCTGAATGGACCTGAAGAAAGCCTTCAGATTTGTGGGCACAGAGCTTCTCTGCCCCCCTGAATTCACCCCAAGATGCCAAAGCAAAGGCAAAAAAGTCCCTGCAGCCTGGACGGGGCAGGTGGGTGGGAAGCAGAGTCTGGGATTACCCGTCAGGGTGTGCTCCGGGCTCATCCTGCAGAGGTTGCATTGGGACTGCAGCTGGGCGAAGCTAGCAGATGAATGGTCTGCTTTTTCCACTCTGCTGTACCTTGTCATCAGATTAATAAAGCATTTTAAGAGCTCTGGATCAAGAGATTACATGGGTGTGGTAGTATACCGTTTTGCAACACAGCTTAAAACATTTGCAATAGGCTGGGCTCAGTGGCTCCTGCCTGTAATCCCAGCACTTTGGGAAGTCAAGACAGGAGGATTGCTTGAGGCTGGGAACTTGGGACCAGCCTGGGCAACATAGCAAGACTCCATGTTTATATTACTGAAAAAAAAATATTTAAGCAAAACAAAAATACATTTGCAATGTCATCTCTCTATCTGCCATGAAAATCAGTTAAGGTAACCCCATGTGACCTGAAGGGTAGGCCCCACCAGCTGGGATGAGTCTCAAAATCACATGGCTTCTTACAGTTTAAAGTGTTAAGCAGCCTTTCTGTCTCCTTTTCTAGATTCTTGCTCATCTGTGGCATCTGGGTTACTCACCAGAAGATATCATTGGCAACATCTTTCGAGTGTGTAAAACTTTCCAAATGGCAGAATATCTGAAACTGGAGTTTATCAAGGTCAGTGAGAGTGTAGAAGTGCCTCTGTCCTCAAGAGTGTGGGTGGGTGCCGTGGCCCACACCTGTAATCCCAGCACTTTGGGAGGCCAAGGCGGGCAGATCACCTGAGGTCAGGAGTTCGAGACCAGCCCGGCCAATGTGGTGAAACCCCCTCTCTACTAAAAATACAAAAATTAGCTGGATGCAGTGGCAGGCGCCTGTAATCCCAGTTACTTGGGAGGCTGAGGGAGGAGGATCGCTTGAACTTGGAAGGTTGCAGTGAGCCAAGATCGCACCACTGCAGTCCAGCCTGGGCAGCAGAGCAAGACTGTCTCATAACAAAATAAAAGACTGTGGGCCCTGGCTTCGCTTTCTCTTTTTGCTCACAGGCCTGGCACCTAGAAGGCGCTCAGTGTTTCCCAGCTGCAGCGGGAGGGAGGGAGGGTGTGTCTTAGTCCCTTTGAGTTACTATAAAGGAATACCAGAGACTGGGTCATGTAGAAAGAAAAGAGGTTGATTTGGCTCACAGTTCTACAGGCTGTACATGTAGCGTGATGCCAGCGTCTGCCTCTAGGGAGGGGTTCAGGCTGCTTCCGCTCATGTTGGAAGGGGAAGGGAGAGCCTGTGCGTGCAGAGATCAGCTGTCGAGAGAGCGGAGGAAGGTGCCAGGCCCATTTGAACAGCCAGCTCTCCAGGGGCCTAATTGATCCAGAACTCACTACCTTGGGGCGGGCATCAAGCCATTCATGTGGGATCTTCCTCGTGACCCGAACATCCCCACACTGGGGACCAAATTCCAAATGAGATTGGGAGGGGCAGATGTCCAAACTAGATGAACGTGGCTGATTGTCCTGAGGACCAAGTTTGTTTCACACAGTCCTGATTTTCTTCATTCAAGGCTCTCTTGTCTATTGATTGATTGATTGATTTTCAAGGTCAGATTAATTGAGGTTTAATTTACATAGAATAAAATTCAGCCTATTAGGTACAGGACACACGCAGTCAGTCACGCAAACACCATCACCATCAGGATGCAGAATCTGTCATCCCAGAACAACTCACATGTCCCTTTGAAGCCAGCCCCCTCCCTGACTACCACTTGGAGACTACTGATATAGTTTCTGTTTGGGGGATACAGTTTTCCAGAATATCATAAATGGAATCATGTGGAACTTAGCCTTGTGAGTCTGGCTTCTTTCTTTCACTGTAGCAGAAATGCCTTTCAGATGTGTCCACGTTGGTACTTCCATCCATGCATCAGTCCGTTGTATCACTGGGAAGTAATCCATCGTGTGCACATACCACAGTTTGCTCATCTGTTCATCAGCTGGAGGACATTTGGGTTTACAGATTGTGGTGACTGTGAATAAAGCCAGTGTAAACATTTGCATATATGGATTAGTGTGAATACAAATGTTAAGTTTTTCTTTTTCCCAAGTAAGTTCCCAGGATTGCCTGGGAAAATGATAATTGTATGTTTCACTCCATAAGGAACTGCTGAACGGTTTTCCAAAGTGACTGCAGTACGTGCATTCCCAGGAGCATTCCAGAGGATGCTCAACCTAGTCGCCACGCGGAGTGCTCAGTTTGGTTTTTAAGCTGTTCTGATAGGTGTGTAATGACCGGATGCAGTGGCTCATGCCTGTAATCCCAGCTACTCATGAGGCTGAGGGAGGAGGATCGCTGGAACCTGGGAGGTGGAGGTTGCAATGAGCTGAGATCACACCACTGCACTCCAGCTTGGGCAACAAGAGTGAGACTCCTTCTCAAAAAAAATAAAATAAAATAATTAACAACCACCACCAAATAACCTAATAGGCATGTGATGAGGTCTCATTGTGGCTTTAATTTGCATTTCCCTAATTAATATGCTGAGCATTTAATCATGTGCTTATTTGCCTTCCAGAATCTTCTTTGATGAAGCATCTATTCATATGTACCCATTTTTTAAAGTTTTTACGTTTTTTATATTTTTGGTAGAGACGGGGTGTCCCGTGTTGCCGAGGCTGGTCTTGAACTCCCAGGCTCAAGTGATCCTCCCTCCTCGGCCTCCCAAAGTGCTGGAATTACGGGTGTGAGCCACTGCACCTGGCCTGCATTTTTTATGTTTTTGAGAGACAGGGTCTTGCTCTGTCACCCAGGCTGGAGTGCAGTGGTGCAATCATAGTTCACTGCAGCCTCAACCTTCCAGGCTCAAGCAATCCTCCCACTTCAGGCTCCCAAGTAGCTGGGACTACAGGCGTGTGCCACTACGCTTAGATCGTTTTTATTTTCTTTTTTTTTGTAGAGTTTGGGTGTTGCTCTGTTGTCCAGGCTGATCTCCAACCCTGGGCTAGTGATCCTCCTGCCTTAGCCTCCCAGAGTGCTGGGATTACAGGTGTGAGCTACTGCTCCAGGTCTAAATCTACCCATTTTTTAATTGGGTTGTTTATTTTTTATTACTGAATTTATTTATTTACTTATTTATTTTTGAGATGGAGTCTTGCTCTGTCGCCCAGGCTGGAGTTCAGTGGTGCTATCTCAGCTCACTGCAACCTCCGCCTCTCAGGTTCAAGTGATTCTCCTGCCTCAGCCTCCTGAGTAGCTGGAATTACAGGCATGCGCCACCATGCCTGGCTGATTTTTGTATTTTTAGTAGAGATGGGGTTTCACCATGTTGATCAGGCTGATCTCAACTCCTGGCCTCGTGATGCACCCACCGTGGCCTCCCAGAGTGCTGGGATTACAGTCACGAGCCACCGCACCCGGCCTTTATTACTGAATTTTTGAGAATTCTTTATAGTCTGGATGCAAGTTCTTTATCAGATATATTAATATTTTCCTCTAGCCTGGCTTTCCGTGCTGCCCCCCTGCCCCGCCCACCCATTTTCTTAACAGTATCTTTGAAAGAACTGTCAGCATCCTTTTAAGAAATAAATTGAACTTTAGGTAAACATAATCTATCGCATCTTAGCATTCATTTTCCGGCTGGAGTTGGAATTCCTCATGCTGATTTTGAACAAACCATTAGTTCAGTTTGTTTCTGTTTTTATTTTTATTTTTTCAGTTCAGATTTTAAAAAAGAACTCCCCCACTTACTAACCAGATTTGAATTTGGTTTGTTTTTCAGGAAATTGGATACACTCACATGAAAATAGCAGAAGGAGTGAACTCCCTTTTGCAGATGGCAGGCCTCCTGGCCAGGCTGTGTCAGAAGACAATGGCCCCGGTGGCCAGTTAGAGCAGAGACTTCGCTGACTGACTTACAGGAGCCCTATCCTGAGGTACAGGAGCTGTGGCTTTCTGATGGGGGAAAATGCCGCCTTAGGCTGGAGCCAGCATGACTGCCGTTTAAACTCCAGTGGCTGGCCAGGCGCGGTGGCTCACACCTGTAGTTCCAGCACTTTGGGAGACCGAGGCAGGTGGATCACCTGAGGTCAGGAGTTCGATACCAGCCTGGCCAACATGGGGAAACACTCTCTACTAAAAATATAAAACTTAGCTGGGTGTGGTGGCAGGCACCAGCTACTTGGGAGGCTGTGGCAGGAGAATCGCTTGAACCCAGGAGGTGGAGGTTGCAGTGAGCCAAGATCATACCATTGCACTCCAACCTGGGTGACAGAGAGAGACTCTGTCTGGGGGGTAAAAAAAATTAAATAAATAAACTCCTGTGGCTTTCATGATTGCTTCTGGGACATCTGTGCCTCACGAGTGTTTGCGTTCAGCCTCCGCCCCACTGATGTGGTATGGGGCGGAAAGGCACAGAGGAGCTGAGGGTGGTCTCTGATCTGTGTGTGGGTTGACATTTTAGCTAATAAAGCCTTGCAGTGTTTGTTGGCAATAAGGTGACCACGTGAAGCCTCGAGGAAAACCAGCTTCCTGTCTCTACTGGCCTTGGCAGCCTACAAGTAGAAAAGGCGATTAGATAGTAGGCCCACAAGCTCATCTTGGTTCTTCTAGAAGCCTGAAGGGGCCACTTCCCCAGGGCGAGGGCAGGGTTTGCTGTCATTTCCTATTTAGACTGACTTCTCAGAATGGCCAGGTGGCGAGCCTCTCAGAGAGGGCCGCAGAGTGGAGAGACGCAGCCCAGCCCTCAGGAAAACACCGTGACGCCCTTCCTGTGTTCTAGACCATACTCTTTGTGCTTGCCTTTGTGCTTGCTTTAGAATTCCCCGGGGAATTTCCTACTAATTTGTAGAATTACCTTTTTTTTTTTTTTTTTTTGGTAAGATGCTATTTTGTTTCCGTTTTTTTTTATTTATTTATTTTATTTTTAAGATAGGGTCTTGCTCTGTTGCCCAGGCTAGAGTGTAGTGGGCCAATCCTGGCTCACTGCAGCCTCAACCTCCTGGGCTTAAGTGATCCTCCTACCTCAGCCTCCCAAGTAGCTGGGACTACAAGCATGCACCATGATGCCCAGCTAATTTTTAAATTTTTTGTGGAAATGGGGTCTCGCTCTATTGCTGGGACTGATCTCAAACTCCTGTCCTCAAGTGATCCTCCCACCTCAGCCTTCCGAGTAGCTGGGACTACAGGCATGCATCACGATGCTCAGCTAATTTTTAATTTTTTGTAGAAATAGGGTCTTGCTATATTGCTGGGACTGGTCACAAACTCCTGGTCTCAAGTAATCCTCCCACCTCAGCCTCCCAAAGTGCTGGCATTACAGGTGTTAGCCACCATACCTGGCCCGTTTGGGCACAGTGGCTCACGCCTGTAATCCCAGCACTTTGGGAGGCCAAGGCCGGCGGATCACATGAGATCGGGGTTCAAGGCCAGCCTGGCCAACACAGAGAAATCCCGTCTCTACTAAAACATGAAATTACCTGGGCATGGTGGTACATGCCTGTAATCCCAGCTACTCAGGAGGCTGAGGCAGGAGAATTGTTTGAACCCAGGAGGCAGAGATTGTAGTGAGGCAAGATAGTGCCACTGCACTCCAGCCTGGGCGACAGAGCGAGACTCTTATAAAAACAAGGAAGAGAAGCTTGTCCCTGAGGTTGTGCAGGCAGGACTTCAGGGTGTGAAGTAACACGCGGGCAACAGTTGGGTTCTAGACGTTTCTTCGGATTTCCTAACTTGTTGCATTAATTTCTTCTCATGGGAAGAGTCCCTGGGCCATCCCAGAAAGACGGCTGGACTTGGGAACTAAGATCCCATCCGCATGCCTGACGCCCTCAGGGTCCCTTTTTATTAAACAGGAGCTGTGGCCGTCATTCCCTTAAGGTTTTTTGTATTTGGTTATGTTTTTGGAGACAAGGTCTCCCTCTTTCGCCCAGGCTGGAGTGCAGTGGTGCAATCACCGTTCACTGCAACCTTCTGGGTTCAAGTTATTTTCCTTCCTCAGCCTCCCAGGTAGTTGAGACTACAGGCATGCACCACCATGCCCAGCTAATTTTTGTTTGTTTGTTTGTTTGTTTGTTTGTTTTTGAGACGGAGTCTCTGTCGCCCAGGCTGGAGTGCAGTGGCGCGATCTCAGCTCACTGCAAGCTCCGCCTACCGGGTTCATGCCATTCTCCTGCCTCAGCCTCCCGAGTAGCTGGGACTACAGGCGCCCACCACCTCGCCCAGCTAGTTTTTTGTATTTTTTAGTAGAAACGGTGTTTCACCGTATTAGCCAGGATGGTCTCGATCTCCTGACCTCGTGATCCACCCATCTCGGCCTCCCAGAAGTGCTGGGATTACAGGCTTGAGCCACCGCGCCCGGCTCCATTTTTGTATTTTTATAAAAGGTTTTTTACCTGAAGCAGGGGAAAGGAGACACAGGATAATCACTGCTTTTCAACTAAAATGGTTTTATTGAGATGTTTTGGTTGGAGGAGATACTTTTTCTGGCAGCATTTCTGACTCAGAAGGTCCCTCTGGGCCCCTGCTCTTCCCATGAGACAGTCATATTACTGTCTAATCAGCTCTGCAGAGGCCAGCCCTGGAGCAGAGGAGGATTCTGGGCCATGGAGGAGACCTACTCTGCCCCGTTCTGGTCACTGCTTCTCTAAACTCTCACGCACTATTGTCCATAGCAAATGACATTTCCACTGAAAGCGCATAAAGATGGCGACAGCCTTATTTCTTCCTTAGTGAACTGAAGCCCAAAGAAAGGGGAGGTCCCACTAAAGGGGAAGAGAGCCAGGGCCCCGCCCAACCAGGATGCTGAAATTAACTACATGTAATGCTTTCTAGGAGACAACACAGAAATCTCTACTCTGAAATCCAGAATATTAAATATGGCTCCCCCTCTATAAGTTAACTGGAGAAGCTTATCAATCCTTTAAGACCCCGGCAACCAACAATAGCAATTAGGAATCCAAATTCATAGCACAAAAGGACACAGATACCAGTGTTGGACAATGGTTTTGGTATGGGGACAGGGCGACAGCTTATCCTAAATCCTACGCATCCATCCATACCAGGAGCCGGGTTACCCTCGGTACCAGGTGCCTGCCCCACAAAGCCTGGGTTGGGAGAGGGCTTGGTGGCAGGGCTGCAGCTCCTGTGGGTAACTGTCCTTTCCCGGGCTGTGCGCGCCTGGCCATGTGGTCCTCAGGGTGGCTGGTTCTCCTTCCAGGAGCAACCATGGCAGGGGCTTAAAAGTTGAGTAGCTCTGGGAAATGGTCCTTGGAAAGCAGCGACAGGTCCATGAGCACAATAGTCCCTCTTCGCCTTGACTCCTTAAATGAAGAGGAAAGTTTGTAGAAGGAGGTTTGCCTTGATCCGTATTTTGTTCCTGAGAACCAGAACCACTGGTTTGGGGCAGCTCACAGCAGCTCAACCTCCTAGACTCAAGCTATCCTCCCACCTCAGCCTCCGAGTAGCTGGGACTACACGTGTGCACCACTACACCTGGCAAATTTTTGTATATTATGTGGAGACAGCGTTTCGCCATGTTGCCCACCCCTGTCTCCACTGCTGCCACCCCTGGCCCAGATGGCACCAGTGCCTGGGTCCTTCCTGGGCTTCCTGTACCCACTCTCCCAGTACCCATTTGTCTGCCCAACAGCCAGAGAAATTGAATTAGAAACATCCAGCCAGTCTTTTGTCCAAAACCTTCCCATTGGCCGGGCGCGGTGGCTTACGCCTGTAATCCCAGCACTTTGGGAGGCTGAGGTGGGCCAATGACCCTGAGGTCAGGAGTTCGAGACCAGCCTGACCAACATGGCGAAACCCCATCTCTACTAAAAAAAAAAAATTAGCCAGGTGTGGTGGCACGTGCCTGTAGTCCAGCTACTCGGGAGGCTGAGGCAGGAGAAACCTGAACCCAGGAAGCAGAGGTTGCAGTGAGCCGAGATCGCACCACTGCACTCCAGCCTGGGTGACAGAGCGAGACTCCTTCTCAAAAAACAAAATAAATACAAAAAAATTAGCCAGGCGTGGTGGCAGATCTCTGTAATCCTAGCTACTCGGGAGGCTGAGGCAGGAGAATCGCTTGAACCCAGGAGGTGGAGGTTGCAGTGAGCTGAGATTGTGCTGTTGCACTCCAGCCTGGGCCACAGGAATGAAAAAAAAAGAAAAAAACAACCTTTCTGTCTCCCTCCCTCCCTCCCATCTCATGCAGTAAAACCCCAAGTGCTGGCCCTGCCTGGTCAGCCTCCCTACCTCCGGCCTCGACCTCCACTAGCTTCCCCTCACCTGCTCCTCCCCACCCCGGCTTTGCTCAGACCTGTGGGGCTCATTCCACCCTGGGGCCTCCGTTGTCCCCTCTGCCTGGATGCCCTTCCCCCAGATGGGGTGAGGAAGGGAGCTCTGAAAGGCTTCTCTAGCCTCCTTCCTTAAATTGCAACACCCCATCGTGCCCACAGCCCCACACTACTTCCTGCCCCGCTTCCCTGTTTTGTTTATCTCTGCCGGACTTACCACCAGTGAACATGCCATGTCTTCTTACCTGTTTTCTTTCTATTTTTTTTTTTTTGACAGGGTCTCATTCTGTCATCCTGGCTGGAGTACAGTGGTACCATCATAGCTCACTGTAGCCTTGAACTCCTGGGCTCAAGTGATCCTCCTGCCTCAGCCTCCCAAGTAGCTGGGACTACAGGCACATACCACTATGCCCAGCTAATTTTTAAATTGTTTTGTTTTTTGAGATGGGGTCTTGCTCTGTTGCCCAGGCTTGAGTGCAGTGGCGCGACCACAGCTCACTGCAGCAACCGTGGCTCATTGCAACCTTGACCTCCCAGGCTCAAGTGATCTTCCCACCTCAGCCTCACAAGTCAGTGGGACTCTGGGGCATCCACCACCATGCCTGGCTAATTTTAAAAGTTTTTGTAGAGGCTGGACATAGTGGCGCGTGCCTGTAATCCCAGCTACTTGGAAGGCTGAGGCACGAGAATCACTTGAACCCAGGAGGCAGAGGTTGCAGTGAGCCGAGATCATGCCACTGCACTCCAGCCTGAGTGACAGTGATACTCTGTCTCATTAAAAAAAAAAAAAAAG